GTAAGGAGCTGTATTTACATAATTTCGTTCTGTTTGGAAGGGTTTGCAACAAGGTCACTTTATTTTCCCCATGCAGATAATTTCCTAACACTCAGAGTGATGCAGTAACTGGCTAAAAAGAGCAAGGAATTTTCATTGGTATGATAGAGTTTATATTTTTGTGGTGCTCTTTTTGTTGTCCCCTATCAACCGTCCCCATTGTTTTCCAAGATGAGCTAATTATCTCTCTGACCTGCCAGCATAAATGCCATGGAGAATCCAGCAATCCAGGTTTGCTTCCATTTCATGGTCCCCAGGAGGATGCAGTTCAGCTTGGCAGAGGGTGGGTGAAGGTCACCCCACAGGGCTGGGGATGGGAATCAGCCCATGGGACTGTTGACTGCACTGGGTCACCCCATGAGTTTGGGGGCTGTTCTGGGAACAGGGTGTCTTGCAGGGCTGAGTACAGCCCTAGGGTTGGGCCACACCAGGAGTCTGGGGATGGAGTCACCCCATGGGGCTGGGGATGGCTCTGGGAGAGAGTCACCCCACAGATATCTCAGCAGGTCTGTGGCCATGCCCAGCCTGTGGAGACTGCAGTGCTGCCAATCAATCTGCACACAGAGAGCTGCTCTCCACAATCCTCTGCTTCCACTTGGTCCCACTGACGATGTCTGAGTGCTGGCCATACCCAGTCCCTCAGTGTTGCTGGTGGCTGCCTTGGGTCCCTTAAGCTGGGCTGAGCTGGGGGTGGTGTGGAGCTCTGTCCTGTGATGCCCAAAGGCTCCGGTGCCTGTGTCAGTGGAACAGCCTGTCCTGATGCATTGGTGCTGCCCCATGCACAGCATCTCCTGTCCCAGGGGTGCTGCCCTGGGCTGGGTCAGGCTGGGGGAGAGTCTGTGGTCACCCAGGGACAGGGCAGCTGCCAGACTCTCAGATCTTCCCCTTCCACCCAGTGCCAAGTGTCTCCTAGGTCTTGCTCACATGGGTGTTTTATTCATTTGTTCAATGAATATTGGCAAGTTTGGCTGGTGCACATACACAGGAAGGGCTTACACAAATTTTGTCACCTAACAGACAGCTCAGATGAATGAGTTTCATGCTCAAGCTTTCTCACAAGGCTAAGGAAATTCAAATAGTGATGGGTCTCATGATGACAAGAAGAGATGGGTGTCAGGAGGCTCTGGGTTCTCTGTTTGGAGGTTTGCACTGAATAGTAAAGGCTAGTACAATATGCCCTTGGATACATGGTCCTCTTGTCTCCAACAAGGCGTTTGTGGAACAGAGCTAGTTACTTCCTGAGCTGAGGGAGGGAAAGGCAGGGAGCTGCAGGTGAGCCATGGAGATCAAAATCACAGGCACCAGCAGCTCCACTCAAGTGCTCTGGAATGAGCCTGGAGACAGCAAGTGGCAGAAATGGTGATGGGGAGACAACTGTGCAATTCCAGGCTGTTGATGAGTGGTACAGGCTTTTCAGCGAAAAATCGTGGTGGCTAAATCCCCAACTCTCCAAAGCAAGGTGAAGTCCATAATTACTGAATCATTTAGTAAGTCTTTAGTAAGTACTAGTGTGAAACAGGAAAATGTGAAGAAAATATGTTTTGAAGCAAAACGAGCAATTTTTTTTATTTCCATCATACAAAATAATTCTAGAATTCTGACAATACATATGATGCTTTCTATAAAATCCCATTTTAATCACTGATGACAGTTTGACGTTTTTCCAGCTGCTTAGAAGCAATAGACAGTCAAGCATCTCAGTAGGACATGGGTTGGCATGCTGGGATGTATGTAAGCTTTAACTTTCCTCCTACTCGCCAACTTATGATGGTATTCGAAGAACGGGGGGGAAAAAAGCTTTCTGCAGGTTTCACACCAGCTTATGCCATCTGTGATTTTAGCTTTGTCTTGCAAGAGTAAAATCTTTGCTTTGAAAGTGCATCCAGATGCTGTCAGCTAATATTATCATTCTCAGTAGCAAGTGAGGATTTTGTTTATAAAATGTCCTGGCCTTTGCTGAACAATAAATGATTCTGCACACTTGAGGGACATATAAATAGCAATTAAAACACAGTTTAGAGTAATGCTTAGGCTCTTAAAGAAAGTGACATCAATTTAAAGGAAAGGATAATGTGCTGGGCTGGACATCAGTCAAAAAGAGGGAAGAAAATATTGTCTAAAACAGCTTTTAAATGATGGGATAAAGCATCTGGATGAACAGACTCCAAAACATGGTGGCTGACAGATCAAAGATGCCTGGGTGAAGCCACTGTGCTTGATGAAACCACCCTTTTCAGACGTGCCTGCTCCAGGGTATGGTGTCATACAAGTGCCTTATAGCCTGTTTCCTTTGGAAAGAGGTCTCATGGGTGAGGGAACACAGCCTGCAGTTAAAGGGGATGATTTCTCACTTAGTTAACATCTTCTATTGCATCCTAGTCAGATGTCTTATCCTAATCCATCTCAATCTACCTTAGATATGTCCATAGTGACCACCACAGTAGTCACTTGCCCCTATATTCTCACCATCTCCTTTTTCTTACTGTATTTATGTTCTCTGTGCTTTTCTGAAGTAGGAAAACACTGAAAATCCCTTCTAATAAATGGAAATCTGATGTAAAATGTGCCCATTGTCCCACTGTTCACTGCTATGAACTATTGTGTCATGTGCCAGGTTATTTCTGTAGCACTCTGCCCAATCCCTCTGTCTAACTGTTCCTGTCATCTCTTGTTGCTTGTTCATGTTTCTTCCCTTCTCTTTTTCAGTGGAGTGAACACCAGTCTGCTCTCCAGTGCAGAGGTTTTTTCTTTCTCTTTTTCAGAGGTTTTTGCAATTTCTGTGGAGCAAGACACCAAGTTTTAGCTCACAGGCCTCTGTTTACACAAACAGCAGCTTGTTAACTGCATAAACAATGAGAATAAATTAAATTCAAATTATCAGTATTGTAGTAGCACAAGGACAGGCAAGTAAAAACAATGCTATGGAGCTAACCTGCATATGCAGTTACTGCAATTATGCACAGAAACAACCATTTTGTGGATTGTTAGGGGCATTTATTTTGACATGCACTTGCACAACTACTTAGTGCTCACACAGTTTTAGGCACAAATGCCCTGTAAGTGTGTATGGCACTGGGGATGCTGAAACTGGGCTCTCAGTCAGAAGCTGATGGTTTATTTTTAGTTTAGTCAGAATTGTGTTGCTGGACTGTTTATGGAATTCACAAGTGTTGTGTGAAGAGTTTTAAAAACTCACTTCTCCCCGTCTGAGCATTGTATCTTTCAGTTTCAGATAGGGGATTTGGTATATTACTGCTGGCACTATACCTCTATGAAGAGTGGGCATTAACTTGGGGAAACAGCTCAGTAAATAAATGCAGAATTTCCACCTGCAGATAAAAAGACTTTGAGAAATCAGGACTACATTTTTGTCTTTGTTTATTCCTGCACTTATATTTTTAAATTAGTTTTAAGTAGCTGAATGCATGAAAAAACAAGACATTTAGATCAAGGAGTTAGTGATCTAATCATAATGTTGATGACTTATTTACAAGTATTTTCTCAGCCATGTTGCTTTTCTTTAATTTCTACAGGATATCCTTTTCCTTCAAAGTCTCCAGAAATTACAAGACAGGCTGCTTTTCTTTGGGGACTATTTGTAAGGAGGCTGACAAGATGAATTAGTCAAATAATTGCTGCTAAACTCATACAGTGCCTGCTTTTTAAGGTGTTTAGTCTGGGTTAATTTTTCTCTGCTAAGGCACAATCATTATCTCTCAAAAATGTATCATTTTTGATAAATTTCCATCTCTATTTACAAAGTCTATCCTAGCTTTCCTAATATGTAGTGATGTTGTGTGCAGTGTAAAACATTACTTGGTTTTATGCTGAAAAATCTGTCTCTTTCCTCCCTTCAGATCCTTGTGGCAAAAAGAGTTCAAATACTTTAGTTAAAAATATTGATTTTGGTGGTAATTATCAAAGATTTAGTTTCTTTGACTTCAGATGAAGCATTAACTGTGTCCCCAGCTTGTAAATCCAGTTATTAATGAAAACTTGCACGAGTGAACTCTGACAGAAACGTTGGTGCACGTCTCTGTGGGTTTTTCCAGGGAGCTGCAGCAGTTCTAGTACTCAGAGAATCCCCAGGGCTCTGAAGATGATTAATGATAACAAAGCTTTCCCTATTGTGTTAGCGGATAGGAAGGAAGAGTACTCTAAAAAGAGAGTGCATAGAATTTCTGAGTGTTGAAGTCCAGGAGTAGAGTTTAACCCTTGAAATCAGCAACAGAATGTCTTCCAGTTACATGAGGAAGATGCAATCTACTTTCCTCATCTTCACAAAATCTGCCTGCTGGCTGCAGGATCAGATTTCTACACCAAGTATGTGCAGAGGGAAACCAGTGCACTGAGATGTAGCAACATTTTCAGATGACTTGGGCAGCTTGCAGTGCAGCAAACAGACATACCCACAATCCACTTAGGTTTAGCTTTTTGAAATGTGTTAGAGATTTCTGCTAATGGGTTTTCCCTGTGGGCAGCATTACCGACCTGATTATACAGGTTTTAAGAAACTCTCTTAGGAAGATTCTTTTTCATCATAAGTTTTGACATTGACCTACTAAACTAGGTAATTTAGCATTTTATTTTGTAAGAATGAAAAAGAAAATTGAATATTTCATGACAAGGGAAGGATTATGGTAACACTGTTCTTTATAGGAAACCTATCATGTCCGGGGGCCAGATCATGCTTCTGAGATCTGTGCATCTACATGGAGATCTCAGCACCTGCTTTCAGAACAGCAACAGCAGTCCTCTGGTTGTGATACTCACCCCAAATACTCGCTGTGGAAGCTTCTACCATACGTGCTTCTGGATTTAGTTTGGGGATAAGACTGCAAGGTGAATAAAATACACCTTCCCACTAGAACATTTCAGTAGAAAGGTGATACGTTTTCAAATCACATTAGTTTTTGTAGGCATTATCTATTTCAAGAGCAACTGGGAGATCACGGCAAAGA